TCTCTATCTACTTAATTGATGTTTGAGTCAAGTGTTCACAGCTGTGGCCTTATCATGCCCTTTGAGGTATCTCTGGCCTCCCAGGCAACTACAGGCCTCAGCCAGGATCAATGATTCATAGAGGTTCACTTACTTCGAATCAGCTCCCATCGATAGGCAGGAGGCCTAGGCTTAAGGCAGACTCACAGATAAACACAGAAAGCCAATTGTTAATGTTAAATCCTGCTCAGAACTGCTTAATAGTGGTCTGCAGCAAGGCCCTACAGCTATCAGGTAGGTACCAAGCTTTAAACACAGAATTTTCATAACATTCAAACCATAATAATATGTAACATATATATGACATACTTACTGTTTTTAGGCACTTATATAAGGTATCTCATTTCTCTATATTTGTTGAGGTATCATCTCACTATATAGCTGAAGAAATTTAGATATATGGAGGTTAAATAATTTGTTTGAGATCATCCAACTTACAGAGAGCAAAATTTGTCTACCTAAACAGTCTGATAAAGAAGCTTCCGAGTTTGTGGACTAAAGTGCTACTTTACGCACATTATTTGCTTCTCAGACATTGAGTCTGATCTTTGGTATGTAGCTGATACAGAGAAAGTGGATGAATAAATAAGATATTCACTTGCTGTAGTCTTCATTACATAGTATTCCTGACCTGTCCAATTTTTCTCCATGTTTTCACCAGTGGATCTCTCTAGTTAAGTCACACTCCAAAATGGCCTGTCCTCATCACTATCCTGAGGCTTAACCTCAGCCATTAGAATCTTAAACTTTAATAGACATCTACACCGTTATACTCCAAAATAGACACCGACTAGGGGACAGGTGAAACAAGCCCGGAGAAGCTAACGTTCCTGCTCTAAAAATGTGAATGGAATGATAGCATCATTAGAAATAGCAGATATTTAAGGAAATACAGGAGCTCTTTCATATATGGATTTTTGTAGGAAATTAAACTTGAGTTTGTCTGAAAGGTAGAAAAGGGCAAGGGAAGACTAGAAATAGTATGAAAGAAAGCACTTCAGGCAAAAGCAAGAACAGAACATGAAAATATTTTTAATAATTCAGTGTAACTGGTATTAATATGGCAGGGTTAATTGTTGGGAACTGAGGCCAATGCTAGGCTTTTCTCCCACACTGACCTCCTACCCAACATACGAGTTGCCTTGCTAGATTTTTGTAGAAAAATGCCAATATACAAAAACAATCAGAGAGGTTCTCCAAAGAATAATACTTTTTTGAGAATAGTACAGCATTGTAATGAGAATAAACTGTGGTCATATTTAAAGTATGTCAGGCAAGGGGTCACATCCAATATAATGAAATAATGATCGTTGGCAACAATGACTAATAAATGGAGTGATATCAACCTGGGTTTTACCAGGAAATTCCTAACCAGATGTCCCAGTGCAAGTACTTTTTGTGTAAAGTTGCAGTGAAATCTGTCCAAGAGTATGGTCCCGTGGAAGTATTTTGTGACAGTTATCATCAGGCATCCATGCATGAGAATCCTTGCTTCATAACCTCCTGACTGCATTTACTTTATTGTTGTTAAGAGTAGTCAGAAGCAACCCCGTTTTGATTCTGAAAACTTTCACATTTCTTTTAGCAGGACTGGTAAAAATTAGTGATTGCTTTCACAGAGTTCACACAGTTAGCACTGTGATCACTGTTTTGAAGGTGGAGAATTACAAAAATGAGATAGAGCACCTCTGCCAAGCCCCATTTTCGGCAGAAAACAAATCAGTTTAATTTTCCATGCCATGCTCCCATTCCCACAGCACTTGATTCTTGCAGCCAAAATGTGGCAATTAATTACATTGTATATCATTCCCTAACTGTTCCCTGTCATTACTCATCTTACCCCAGTGAAACACTTCAAGAGACATTTATGAAATTGAAATGGTTTGTAACGATGCCACAGATCTGACAGTCCAGCCCCAGCACTAGCTGCTCTTGGCTATCAGGCGTGGTCCACTGCAGACAAATTTTAGGATGGTCAATTAAGTCATGTCACTCTCTGCCTCATTAAAAGGTACAAAAGACTCAGCCCAGTGGGCCCATTTTTACTTTTCTACTATATATTTATACTTTAGCATAAAAGTAGGTGACTGTATTTCTCTACTTAGTATGATGAACAGCAAGGTGTGTGCACCTGTGAAAAGGTAACAAAATGAGACTTTTACCCATATTATGTTCCATGTAGTTTTGTTTTACATATGTTTACCTGAGTATCAGAGGTTTTTTTTTTTTTTTCTTGGTACAAGCAGCCCAATTCAGTACAATGGCATATGAAAAGCCAGATCTGCGAGTTGTGGAGATCAAAAGAGAATCAGCATATTATTCATGCATGGCTATGAAGATGATCCATTATGGTAAAATATATGCTTTCATAACAGGAGAGTGGTGTGGATGGAAGATGATGATGAGGATGATGATGACGACGACAATGATGATGGTGACTTTGATATTGGCCATGTGAGCCAAAGTTCCTATGACAGTGAAATGGAAAAAAAAAAGAGGGAATGCTAACCTCCTTGATTCAGATGATGAAGAAAACAGCAATAGGTTGTATTTATTTGACTAATCAAAGTGTTGCAAATGGTCATGAATGCAAATGGAATGATGTAATGTTAGAACTAAGTCTAAAAATATAATGAGGGTCTTGGCAGGGGTGAAATGGTATTGGAGAGAATGCCAGCACTGCTATTCAGTGTTAGAAACTAACAGACAAAATGCTACAAAGATGCTGTGAAGCACACAAAGGCTGAAATGCAAGCAAAATGTTCTGTATGCACCAATAGCCATATTCAAAAACATATTTATTATGACACCTCACTAGCTGAACTTAAAGTATTCATAGGTCTGCTGTACTTAGCAGGAGTTTCTCATGGTGATTATAGGAATGTAAAAGACTTATTTAAAAGTGATAGGTCAAAATATGGCACAAAAATTTATGCCCTTGCATGTGTGAATACTTATGCTTTCAATTTAGATGTTTATCCTAGAACTCAACCATCAGGCCCTTATTTACATGGTAATAAACCGAATCATACTGTGAGCAGACTTGTTGCTCCCACCTCCCAAACTAATCAGAATGTAACATTCGACAATTGGTTTACCAGTTTCCAGAGAAGAAGTTGAGCGGCACAGGGACTATACATAGGAACAAAGCAGAAATTCCAAATAAAGTGTTACAATTTTAAAACAGATAATTGTGTAGTACAATCTTTGAGTTTCAGAATGATGTAACATCGTCCTCATACATAGCAAAAAAAAAAACAACTTAAACTGTGGACGACAACACTGCACCATGATGGAAATATTAATAGGGAAACCTTGACAAAATGGAAGCCTGACATGAAAACTTTCTAAAGGTGGGCAGCAGCTATGATATTATTTGAAACTCAAAGCACTTGCCAATGGCTGCGTTTCATTGATCCTAAATATGTGTAGCATAAATAGTTTGATAGTTTACAAAGAAAATAACGTGCAAAACATCACACAGAAGTTTTATTAGAGGAGCTGGACTGGAGCTCTTAAGAGATCATTTATAGCAGAGGAAAAACAAAATGTTTCTGTTCAGGAAATTGAGCACAAAATGTTATAGAGCCCACTAGTGATCTGACAGATAATAGGCAGGCGTAGCACCACAAAGACCTACTATGGCAACAAGAAAACAAAAAAAAGATGTCAACTGTGCCCTACAAGTACAGGAGATATGCTATCAGTGTGATACACATAAGGAACATATAGTTGTCATGTGTGAGGACTGCCTGGGGTGACTGGTGAAGCACCAAATAAAGTGGTAGGTAGACTTTGTTTCTGTTTATACATTGTAGTTCACATAGGCTTTTATTTTTGATGCTACCTTCTTAGGTTTTGTAAGAAAAGAGATGATACGAAAATGTTGAAAGCAATTCTAAGCACTCATTACATATTTGATATTATTATTTCACTGATATCTTATTTCCCTGCTAAGTGCATATTGTACAGTATAGTAGGAAGCTACTGACAAAACAAGAAGAGAAGTGACAAGGCTGGCGCATAGGGAAGAAAAGCTAAGCACACATGCTGTCGGTGTAAGGTGTATGCATGGGACATGCAGTTGTCATGTGTGAAGACTGCCTTGCGTGTGACAGTAGAAGCAAAGCTTATTTTTGTGGTAGAGTTTGATTGTTATTTTCATTGTAGCTCATATAGGAATTTATTTCTGATGTCTTTTTGGTTTTGTAAGCAAGTACACAACTGATGTGAAAATGTTGATGTTTATTGTAAATGCACAACGCATACGAAGAATACCTTATTGTATTGATATTTTATGTTCCTGTTAACTATGTACTGCATAAGAAACTCTTGACAAGACAGAAAGATCCCTGAGATGTTAAGTACGTCCTATAAAAAGGCCAGGAAAACAAACACATATGCTGCCAGTGTGAGTCATAGGTGTATGTGGAATGTGCGGTGATCGCCTGTGTGGACTGCCTTAGGTATAACAATTGACAGGCTTTTTTGTAAAGTGCTATTGGTATTTTCACTGTAGTTCATATAAGAATTTATTCATGTTGTTCTTTTTAGATTTAGTACAGAAAAAGTCAATGTGAAAATTTTGATGCTTTTTTTATAAATGTTCAATAAATGTTAAAAATTCAGTAATGTATTTTTGTGGGGTTTTTCCTATTGTGTTCATCAATATAAAACTCATGAAATTAAACTTAGCAATTCATGAATATAAATATCCTAAAAAACAAACGTGGGCCTTACAGAAGCATGGTTAGGCGCCTTGATGACAGAATTATAGTCTTACTCCCCTAAACTGTGGCCCCGTTCTAGGACAGAACAGTTTAGATGGGCAGTCACAACCGTTAGGACGTCTGTTCCACCAGAGGGCGCATGCAATCCCATAGCTACCAGAGTTCATCAGGCGGAAAACAAAGAAAGCTGACAAAGTTAGACCCAATGCAGCCGCCGTAGGCGCCGCTGCGCCCCCACCCACCCCGCTACCCGCAAGTAAACAGGAAGTAGGACCGATGTTTGGAGGCTCCTGGGTCTGGAGAAGGGGGCAGAATTCTGAGAAATTGCTCTCGCTGAGGGCTTCGATTTCGCGTTTGTTTCTCCCCCACCCATCTTTTGCTCTAGTCTAGATACTTCTGTCCTCAGCCGACTCGCACCTCTGTCTTGGAAGTTTGGTCAGAACCATGGCCGAATACTCCTACGTAAAGTCCACCAAACTCGTGCTCAAGGGAACGAAAGCGAAAAGGTGAGACCGTAGCCGGGCAGGCGGCTCTGCCTTTCCTTCTGTCCCGCCCCACTCCCTGCGAGCCCGTGGAAGCGGAAGGGCTATCCTTTCGGCCTTGCGCCTTCTGGCCCAGCTGGGTACCGGATGCGGAGAGGCTGCTACGCCTCAGTTGGCTGCAGCCCAAGCCGCGCTCCCGCACCCGGAAAAGAAGGGACGGAGATCCGAAAGGAAACCTGGAGCCCCAGAGCAACGCGTGGCAGTCCCCGAGTGTCCCCGCCGACCTGTACGGGGCCGGTCTACTTTATTCTGAGCACGTGGGCCCTAGTGACAACCCCTTTAGGGAAAATTCTTTTCACCGTTTATTCTCTTTAAAGTTTTTTTTTATTAATTTTTTTTGACATTACATAGGGGGTGGAACGGAGCTGAATCACATAGTGGTTTGTATGAGGTTTCTAGGGATGTGGACTCATATTGAACCCACCAGTTCCTAAATTGTGTTTATGCAAATTGGTTATAATTCCTAGGCTTCGCCAGGTGTGGTAGCATACGCCTGTAATCTTAGTACTCGGAAGGATTGCTACAAGTTCGAGACCATCCTGGGCTGCATAGTGAGTTCAAGGCCAACTTAACAAAGTGAGACCCTGTCTCAGAAAACATTTTTTTTTTCTGAGCTTCCATTCATTTGAGAAGAGCTCAGATAATTGTTTCCATGTGCTCGTTGATACTGTTCAAGAACCATTAAATGAAATAATAGATGTGCCAGAAAATCAAGCCAGAAGGAAGGAGGAGATAGCACTGGTGAGGTATAACTGAACTCCTTAGGTAAACATACCTGTCAGTTCATACTGCCACATTTTTTTTTCAACCATTTGGTATATCCGTTAACTACTTATGCAAGTACTGAACATTTCTTTCTAGTTTCAGTGATGCACAGAGTTTCGGGCCCTTTCAGGTGAGATGGAAAGACAGTGTGACAGGGCTAATAAGCCACTGCTTTTAAGAACTGCTAGAGGTCTGGAATGAACTTAAGTAAATCTGAAATTTTTACTCTCTGAATTAGCAGGAAAGGAGAGTTTGCTTCTGGGTTTGTTTTGTTTTGTGTTTTAGGCAGAGTCCTGCTGTGCAGTCCAGGCTGTCCTCAAACTTGGCATTCCTCCTGCTTGAGCATCCAGAGTGCTGGGATTACAGGCATGGGCCACCACTGCCAGCAGGAGTTTGCTTCTGCAAACATACTTCATGATTAAAATGCAAGCAGGTGCATCTTATAATTATCTATATAATTAACACCTGTGTAACAGTTTCTGTGCATCATGAATTGTTCTAAAGTATTTTGCTTATTAACTTTTTTCCATCCATCATTTTTTAGATGTAATTCTTTTGCCACAAAATTCCTCAGTTGAAGTGTACAGTTCAGTGAGGGGTTTTTTTGATGTACTCAAGAGATTCACCAATGTCTAGTTGTTCATCGTTCCCCCCCCCAAAAAAAACCCTTTTCCTCTTTTTCATTTCTCCCAGTTTCTAGCACCCTCTTTTCTATTAGGATTTGTTTGTATGAATATTTTATTTTAGTAGAATCCTATATTATATAGCTTTTTATAATGTGGCTTTACCTAAAACATTAAGAGTAATCCATGGTTTAGTGTAATACAGTATATTTGCTCATTTTATAGCTGAGTAATATTCATTTGTATTGCTAAGTTACATCAGTTAATGGACCTTTAGGTGATCTCCACTTCAGGGCTACTAGGAATAATGTTACTATGAATATCCTTTTATAAATCTTTGGACATGCATTTTCATTCCTCTTGGGCCTATAAATTAGGAATGTAAATACTGGATCTTAGGATAACTGTGTTTAACATTGAGAGAAAATGCTGTTTTCCAAAGAGATTGCACTGTTTTACATTGTCCTCAGTAATATATGATGGCCCATATTATCTCTTAACCACTGGAAGTAGCTGTAAGACTTAGGTTATTACCCTCATTTTATAAGTGGGGATACTGATTCACCAAGAGTTTAAGTACTGTTTCCAAAAATCACGGAGGTAAACAGTAACTGGATCAGGATTCAAAACTAGGAAGTTTGGCTGCAGAGTCTGTTGCTAATGCTACCATAGACCCAACTTCTTAATACGATAAGACAGTTTATCAATGTAAATTACTGAAAATCAGCAGCCTATAAATCACAGTATAGCTTCAAAGATGCTTCTGTCCTTCCATATTGTGATATTTAACATACAAGTTAATATATAAGTATATAACTTTTTTCTTGTAGTAAGAAGAAAAAGAAAGAAAAAAAGAGAAAAAATGAAGAGGATGAAGAAACCCAACTTGATATTGTTGGTGAGTCACTACATGCCCTATTCTGTGAAAAATTGAATTGGCTGAGATCTTTTAAATTTTTCTTTAGTTAGAAATTTGTGACTGTTAAGTTTTTCCTAAGTACACAGATATCACTTACAATATCGGATTCCTCCTTTTTGTGAGCACAGTAGATACCATTGGTACCTTTCTTCATTTTCAGAAATGTAAAGGAGAGAGCATGACTGCTGGAAATATAAGCATAATAAAAATAATTATTTTAGGAACTGAAACAAATGAAAATTAAACAGAGTAGAACATCAAGGTAAAGTATAAATGGTGATAGAAGCAAACCAAACCAAACATGCTTGTAACCAGTTTTCTGTTTAGGCACTGATTGTGTCCACCACTCTACCAGTACTTTAAAGCAATTGTTTTTCTTTTCTAAAACTTAGCATGTTTCACTTTGAAACTTCATAAATTCTGGGTGTGCTTCAAAATTGTAAAATTAGCAAGTGGCATAGAGCTAATGTCCTGGGAAGTTTCATTTTTTTTCTATTCAAGTTTACAGTGCATAATTACATTCATGAAGAGTTGGTATACACACATCTTAATTCTTTATGCATCCCCTTCCCGGTGACTACCTACTTTCCCCTGGCCTGTAACTCTTAGTCCTCTTCCCATTTACAAAAGCTATCCCCACTTTCTTTTTATCTGTCTTATTTTGTTCTTTATTTATAGTTCATATTTCTCATATAAGAGAAGCCATGCAATACTATGCTTGTAGGTCTGATTTATTTCATTTAATTTATGGTCAGATGATACATCCATTTTCCTACAGTTGATTGAAATGTATCTTTTTTTATAGCAGAGAAGTACCCCATTGTGTATAAATGCCACATTTTCTTTATCCGTTCATCTATTGATGGGCATAAAACTGCTTCCAAGTTTTAGCTATTTTGAGTTGGGCTGCTATAATCATGGGTATGCATGTATTATTGTAATATGTTCTATTTAACTCTTTGGAGAAGATGCCTAGAGAGGAATCTGTGGGTTAAGTGGAATTTCTACTTTTGATTTCCCCAGGTGACTGAAGGGCTATGTGGCTGGGCCAGTGCCCCTCCCCCTCACTTGTCTTCGCTCCTGTTGACTGGGACAGCTTGCTTTATTGTCCTCCTTGGCTGTCAGACAAGCACTGTCCACTCCAAGAGGAGTGTAGCCAGACTGTCAACATGGCTCCACTTCAGCAGCTACCATTGCTTTTTGAAAAAAAGAGTAAACACCCTGGCATGGGGAAGATTAGGATGGGAGGGATCTGAGCCTTTAATTTACATACCTCACCCTCATACCTACTTTTTCAGAAGAATCCCTGGGTTAAGGCTCCTCACTGCAGCTGCTATATATAAGCAGCTCAATTCCAACACTTCTTGAGTTTAGTCTAGAAGGGCGCCGTCCTGTGCACTGACTCTCCTGTGCTGCAGCACAGCCCCTGTTAAAGCTTTGCTACAGTGTTCTGTAAACTTGCTTCTGAATCTCTCTTTTTTGTTGTTTTTTGTTTTTTTGGTATGGGAAATTGAACTGAGGACCTTGTACTTGCCAAGCGGGTGCTGTGCTGCTAAGCTATATCCCCGTATCCTCCGCCCTTTCTCTTTTTATTTTTCTTTTTTTTTTTTTTTTAATTTAGGGCCTCTAAATTATTTCTTAGGTAGTGTTGGCCCCAAAAGTCCTGTAAATTTATTTGGGGATTTTATCCTGAGTAATGTGGACAGAACATTCATTTGAAAAGAGGGAGCAATAAACATAAAGAGCTCCAAAGACCAGCACCAGGCAGAGTCAGCCTATGGTCTGCAGTGCAGACTGGTGCTAGAAGACAGCAGATAGCAGCGACAGAGACTGTAACCCAGGAGTCAACCAAGCGTGTCCAACACAAGCTGGCACTGGCGGGTGGAGACCAGCAGTGGCAGACCAGGACCCAGCAGAGTTGACTTATGAAGCTCAGCACAAGCCAGCATTGGACACTGGTGGCAGGCAGTGACAGTACCCAGCAGCTGGCTGTGTCAGCAGTTCGCTCTCAGTAGTATCCACTGTCATGAGGACTGCTAGCAGAGCTGCACTTTGCTGATCTACAAATGCATCTGAACTGAGCCCAAAAAAAAACCCCACATGATTGGTAACAGAAGGGCTTTTTACCTTCGGCCTCATTAGCATTTTTTATTCCTTGGCTTTTTTTTTTTTTTAATTTAAAGAAAGACTAAACAAAACAATAAACGGGTACATATAATACATACTTTCAAAGAAAAAAACAAATAGTAATTGTTTTAGTTACTTTTTACTCGTAGCTGAGACAAAATACCTGAAGCCCAAAGTTGGGAAAGGAAAGGTTTATTTCTTACAGTTTTTGGAGGTTTCAGTCCACACTTAGTTGACTCCAAGACAGGCAGGCATGGCTGGGCCTCAGTTCATAGCGGCTGCAAACAACAAACAGGAACCAGCAAAGAGCAAGACACACCTTCTTCCTGCCATTACATCACATCCTGGCTCCACCCCTTTGTGGGTGGAGCACTGACACCATCCATCCAAGCACTGGACAATGAACGAATAACAAATGCACAATTCAAACTTGTGAGGCCTGAGGGCCACAGACATAAACCATGACAGTAATAAATCACTACTTGATGTTTACATATTGTCCTCTTACAAATAATTATTCAAGATACAAAAGTGGAACATATAAATGGGAATTCAAACAGTGAGATTGCAAATAGTTCTGTTCAACTATCCAACAAAAACTGAGTAATATGGTTATCAATCCTGTATACCTAAACATACATGCAGTTATTCATATCTTCATTTATGTTAAGATTAAACAAACCAAAGAGACTAAAATCACTCTGGACAAAGAATAATACTATTGCTGAATTTCACATCACCACACTCCAGGGTCAGCACTGGTTACTGTAGTGTCTTTTATCCTTCAGAGTATTTGTTCATTTCGTCGTGTGTTGTAAGATCAGTTCTTGTAAACTCTTTATAGGTTCTATGCATGCATGAGTCTTAACCTGTATTTCTAACCTTTCTATATTGGGGGAAACAAAACAAAGTAGCACAGAACAAAACATACTCCTATAGATACATAAAATGAAAAAGACATAAAACCACTGTACAAGGAGTTCTACCATGGTTACTGTGTTGTCTCTTGTTATCTTCAATAGAATTGGCTATATCATCAGATATAGTATAATTGAATATACCAGTACATAACAGTATTGATAGAAACACAGCTTTGTAGATAGTGTAAAACTACAAAAACAGGTCATAATCAAACCAGAATGGGTATCGTAGTGAATCTTTTCATTTTCAGTATAGTTGTCTATACTGTGAGACTTGATACTATCAATTATAACAGTTTTGAATAAATAAAACAGTGTAAGTTATACAGGTCTCCAGATTAAGTTGATAGGAAATTAAAGATGATTACTGTGCTATATCCTGATATTTTGGGGATAGCTGTCTGTGCCCTCAGATCTAGTGCTTGTAGACAAACTGGGACAGAATAAGTTCTATCTAAGCAGCACAGTGCGAGTAATATGGGTTTAATTCCTGATACACTATTAACAATATCTTCTTCTGTCTTTTTTAAGACTATTCCTCTCCTTTCACTTCCCCAGGGTATACTGTGCATTTTTGGGTCTCACCAAAACCCTTGGTTTTAAATTGGGGGGTGGGGCAACCTGCTATTTACCTAAGTGGTTCCAAATCTTCTCCCTCCTGGATTTGATCTCTAGTTGTATTCCTTTACCTGTTAAAGCCTGTCTTTCCCACTTATCCTCAAATACTAGCCTTTTTTGCCCCTATTACTCTGGTTCCTTGTTACATAGAACATTGTTTTCTCATATTTGATTTTCAGTCCATATATTCTTTTTCAGGTTAATTATTTTCCTATAAAGAGCATCTCGGTGGACCCTACCTCCTGATCTACTCTGCCTGTGATTTTCTCTTTTTTTAATTTAGTGCATCAAGGCCATCTATATTAGAGATTATAGCCAACTTTCTCTGCCTCATTTCTGTTGTGCTTTTTTTCCATCATTAGTTGTCTGTTTGTCTTCCTCATTTTGTTTTCTGCTCCATTAATTGAAGCCTCTCTGCCACTGTTTCTGGAATCATGGTACTTTTCTCTCTCTTTAGAATGTCCTGCAATATTCTCTGTAGTGTTGGATTGGTGGTGGCAAATTCCCCGAGTTCCTCTTTGTTTCGGAAGCATCTTGTTTCTCCATTAATTTCTAGAGGTAGTTTTCCAGGGTACATCAATCTGGACTGGAGGTTATTTTCTTTCAAGGCTTGGAATACTTCACTCCAGTCTCTTCTTGATTTGATGGTTTGTGTCGAGAAGTCTGCCGTAATTGTGATGGGCTTTCCCTTGTAAGTAATCTGTTTCTTGTCTCTGACAGCTTTTAATATTCTGTTCTTATATTGAATTTCTGGGATCTTGATTATTATATGCCTGAGTGTAGTTCTGTTTTTGTTGTAGGTGGCTGATGTTCAGTATGCCTCATTCATCTGAATATCATTCCCTTTTCCTATGTTTGGAAAGTTTTCCTTAATTATTTCTGTGACTAGCCTTTGTAGTTCTTTGTTTATACCCCTGCTTCTTCATTCACATTTTTATTCTTAAGTTATAGATCCTCTTGTTGTCTTCTAGCCCTTGTATTGTTACTGCTTGTTTCCTTGTTATTTTAAAGAGATTTTTTTTTTCCTTTCATGCTCCCACAGTACAGTTTGGATAATCTATCCTTAGTTTCTTTCAAGCAATTTTGCCAGCTTTCAATGGAGTTTTTAATTTCCTGGTAATCTCTTTGAACCTGCTTCATGAATTCTATATTTTCTTTGTATTCTTCATCAAATGATTCTCCCCTTTTTTTGTGTGTTCCTCCATTCTTCCATCTGTGTCTTCTTGAGAGGTGCTTAGCATTTCTTTTATTAATCTAAAATATTTCAGTTTTGAACTCATCTATGAGGTCCCAAAGATATCTCCTATGTCCACT